AAAAAAAAAAAAAAAAGAAGAAGAAAGAAAATAAGTTGAGGTACTCTGCTTCTGTAAAGGTTTACAACCTTGGGAACCCTGTGGGGCAGTTCAACTCTGCCCAGTATGGTTGTTTTGAATCAGTATCAACTTGATGGTGGTATGTTGGGTTGGTTGGTTATAAATAATTATAATTATGCCACTTTATTTCTGCAGTATTCAGCCTGCGGCCTTTCATTTACTGAGTTCTTAATAAATGTTTTTATTCATTATTCTTACTGTAATTATTCACACAAAGATGAAAGTAGGACTTGGGAGCATCATGATCTTGGTGTCTGGACTTGGATTGCTTGGGTTCAAATTCCATGTTGACCACTTTCTATCCTGGCAACTTTGGGTCATTTACATAGTTCTTCTTGAGCCTCAGCCTCCTCATCTTTAAAATGGATATAATATAGGACCTATCTCAGGGAATCCTTCATTTCTTCCATTGAAGAATGATTAATTTAAGAAAGCACCCAAAGTGATACCTAAAATGTAATAAACGCCCAACAAAAGGATCTACTATTATTAATAAATGTCTTCTAACACTTAGAATTCTCTCTCTGCAGGTCGTCAAACGCTGTGACATCATGCTTCTGATGGAAATCAAGGACAGTAACAACATTATCTGTCCCATGCTGATGGAGAAGCTGAACGGGTAAAGATGAGTTGGAAAGTGGGGGAGGGGAAAGGGTTGTCCAGATCCTCTACAGGCTCAAGGTCAGATGCAAGGGCATCTGAAAAGCCCCGGGGAAATGAAACTAGTGTGGGAGCCAGCACTTACCCTGACCACTAGATCACGAGGCCAGAGGTGCTCACGCTTTCAACTTTATTAGCTATGGTCCTGAGAACTTTCGACCTTCTGGTTTTCACATGAGAAAGCAAAGTAGAAGAAATAGGTAAGTAGTCAAGATAGAGAAGTGAAAGCAGGTAAGAGGCTGGACTATAAAGTACTGTTATAAAGAAAAGATTGAATGCTAACAATAGAAAAAAGTTTCAATAAAATTATACAGCTGGAATATTATGCAGCTGTTAAAAATTATACTTGGTTGAGATGGCAATGTTTTGTTTTATACACACACACACACACATACTACAACAACAAAAGATAAATAAAATCATGCTTAAATAAGTTAGATCTATAAGTTAGAACAGGTGTTCTGGTGGGACAGTGCCTAAGGCATTTGACTGCTAACCAGAAGGCAGGAGGTTCAAACCCACCAGCCACTCCTTGGAAGGAAGACTGGGTAATCTATTTCCATAGAGATACCTCCTCCGAAACCCAAGGAGTAGTTACTATGAGTCGCAGTCGAATCTATGGCAGTGAGTTTGGTTTTTTTGTTTTTGTTTTTGTGTTTTGTAAGTTAGAACATACTCCAACATGGAAAGATGGCCACCATATATTGAAAAAATGAAGTTCAGCTATCACACTAGACATGAATAAGGTTATGCTAGTGTTTGCATATGGGGCCCTAGTGGCTTAGTGGTTAAATGTTTGGCTGTGAACAAAAGGTTGGTGGTTTGAACCCACCAACCCTTCTGAAAGAGAAAGATGTGGCAGTCTGCTTCCATAAAGCTTTACAGTGGAATCGATAGCACAGCAAAGGGTAGTATTTGTATGAGCACAGAAGAAAGACTGGAAGGATATGCTCCAAACTGTTAATAATATTTACTTCTGGGAGCGTGATTGGAGAGCAGTGAGAGTGGGCGAGGGGGAATCACTGAAGGAATGTTTTTTATTTACTTCTGTATGATTTTAATGTTTTTTAAATAAGTTTGAATTAACTTCATAATTTAAAAATCAGTGAAAACAAAAAACAACACCCTCAAGTAGTTTTAAATGACATTGAGTGATTGTTATGATTTATATTCTCTCTCAAAGAAGGATCAGCCACCCACCTACCCGGAAATCACACAGGAGAGGGAGCTAAAAATGCACATTCATGGGCCCCATGTATACTGAATACCTGTGAGAGAGGAATCTGTATTTTAACAAGCTTCCAGGGTGATTTTTGAGGCACTCCTAATTTTTTAAAACCTTATATGCAATGTTTCTTTTGTAGATACATTATAAGATTAAGCAACAAATTACAGTTCATAATGTTATGTCCTGTGTAGCTAAATTATGTTAAAAATGTTGTTGTTGTTGTTATGTTGGACCCGACTCATAGCAACCCCTCCTTGGGTTTCAGAGGCAGTATCACTAGGAAGTAGATTGCCCCATCTTCCTTTATGTAAAAAATTCAAAGAAAACACAACAAAATGTTACCAATGGCTATATCAGGGTACAAATTTACAGGGGATTTAAATATAATTTCTTCTATATATTTTCTGTATTTTCCAAGTTCTTCACAATGAGACTATTGTACCTTTTTTCAAACATACTTGACAGCACAGAGAATCATATACCAAATAGCCATGAACCCACCAGGTAGATATAAACAGTAACATCTGGCAATTATTATACTTTGGTAATTAGGAAAACTCACACTGTTTTGGGGGTAACAAAGGGAGGGGGTTAGGGGAGGTAGCAATCCAGACTCGTTAGGCCTGGGGAGGAGCAGCTAGGGACACTGTCTTTCACACAGCGGGCTTCATGGGTTTGCCCCGCCTCTCCCTGGGCCTCAGTTTCCACAGAACAGAGTTTTCTGTTTTAGCCTCAGCCAGTCTACTGTTTCTGGATCTGATCTTTGCCTTTGAAAGAGGGAGCGTAGCCTGGAGATTAGGAGTCCACACTCAGACCACATGGATTTAGATCCTGACTGCAATTTACTGAGCCTCTTTGTCTCTATTTGTAAAAAGGAGCTGATGACAGAATCACCTTCCTGGGTGTAGCATAATTAAAGTAAACCATGCACACAAGTGGTTTCATGCCTGGCTTGTAGCACCGCTCAGTAAGCACTAAAGGTTTCCATCACTAGTGAGAAGAAAGGAAGCATTACAAAAACAGGTAATGATCCAAGTCTGACACTTAGAACAGCAACCAATAGTCAGAGGTATCTACAGAAAATAGTGTCTATGGCAATGAGTTTTACATTGCTGAACGATCTCTCACAGCTGACAATGGGAACTGCGATGGCAAATAGAAACTGCTCATTGGTGCCCCCCCACCCCCCACAAGTGGCACCCAGGGTATGTGTCATACCTGCTGTACCCAAGATACGCCTCTGCCACAGATAACTATGTGTCAGGCATCCTGTCAATCAATTTACATGAGCTATCTCTTGTATTCCCTACAACAACCCTGTGGGGTAGGTACTATTACTGTTTTTCTTACAGCTGAGAAAGCTGAGGAACAAAGAAGAGGGACCTGCTCAGTGTTGGACTAACTAATAAGCAGATACTGCTTCCTTACAAATCTGTAGTGAACAATTTCACATTTCTTTCACCATATCCAAAATTCTGTTTTGAGGTGTGGCTGGCATCTATCTTTCTCCCAACCCCACAACCCCTTCCTGCTGAATCAAAGCTTCTTTTCAAATTTCCAATCCCCAATAGGGACAGAGTACCCAGTAAGCAAGTAAGCATAGGCTTGCTTGTACTTATTTACCAATCTGTAGCGAACAGTTTCATTGTGTTCCTCAGTGCTTGTTTATTGGGTAATCCACCCCTGAACTTGCCCAAGGTCACCCAGCCAATAAATGGCTGGCCTACCTTTGAACCTGGGTAATATCTGAGTCCAAAGCCAGTTTTTTTTCTGAGTTCTAGGTAGCTTTAGGGAGTGTAGGGGCCTAAGAATCCAGGTGAGCTCCTGGCATCTCCCCACAATCTGTGTGGGCGAGGTTTTCCATCACCAGCATGGTCTGGGTGCTCCCCACCCTGCCTAGGCTGTGCCGTTGACTTGAGGCAAAGTCAAGCCTGTTTATTTTCCTTATCCCCAGTAAGCTAAGAGGGGACTTAGTCATCTTTAGCTGAGTAACTGCAAGAAGTTTGCTAACCCAGGATTTGGCAGGCTAGATCCCAAATAGGGCCGGTAGTCCCAAATGGAAAACCCAATTGAAACCACAGTCCATACTCCTGGGCCCCAATGGTCAGGTCTACCCCAAAACACACATCTGAAGCCTTAGGAATTTCTAAGTTTGCCCCTAAATACTACCTCTGCTTTTATCCAACAGAATAAGAATACACCACAGCTTTAGACATGCCCCATACCCTTTTTAAAAAAACATTCTATTGTTTGGGTGAAAGTTTACAAAGCAAATTAGTTTTCCATCCAATAATTTATACACATTGTGTTTCATGACATTAGTTGCAATCCTCTCAAAGTAATAGCATTATTCCCACTTCCTCCCTTGGTTCCCCATTTCCATTTGTCCTTCTTTCCTGTCACTTCCTGCCTTATGAGTTTTGTTTTTGGGCAAATGCTCCCCTTTTGATTGACTGTTCTGAGGGGTATGTTCCTCATGGGTATTATTGTTCACTTCATAAGCCTGTCTATGAAATCTTTCGGCAGAAAGGTGATCCAGGGGTGCAGGGGTGGGTTCAATTCTAATTGAATTTTAAAGGACCATAGTCTCAGGAATTCCACCAGTCTCTATCAGACCAGTAAGTCTGGTCTTCTTTGTTTTTTTAAATTTGCTTCTACATTTTTCTCCCACTCTGTCCAGGACTTCCTATTGTGTTTCTGATCAGAGCCCTCAGTATTGTAGCCTGACACCATTTTGTTCTTCTGGTGTCAGGGTAGTAGAGGCTGGGGTTTGCATGGTCCATGAGTCCTTTGAACTAATTGTTTCCTGACTCTTTGATTTTCTTCACTCTTCTTTGTTCCACATGGAGAGAGACCAATAGAGTTTTTTACTTTGCTGCTGGTAAGCTTTTAAGACTCCAGTTGCTACTCACCAAAGCAGGATATAGAACACTGTCTTTGTAGACTATATTATGCCAATTGACCTAAGCTGTCCCCTGAGACTATGGTCCTAAGCCCCCAAGCCCAGTGACTCATTCCCTCAAGGTGTTTGGCTATGGGTAAGAAGTTTGCATAACTTTGCCTCATGTATGCTGTACTATATACATGGATATATATACATCATATACAAATATATATGTAGAAATTTCCTTTGCCAAACCTTTATATACCATGGGTGTATTCCCATTTGCCATCCCAAACCTGTTCAGCTTGCATGTCTACCTATGTATCCACTTGTAGATTATTATTGCTTGTTGTTGCGGTTATTGCAGAATTGTTGCATATAGTTTATCTTTGTACCTTTTACTCTTGTGTTCTTCCCAGTGTCTTCCTCTTGGTCTTGTGCTGACCTCCCACTTATTGGATATTGCAGTTTCCTTTCACTCAAGTTAATATATGCCTACTTTCTAGTTGGTGTTTTCCCCTCCCTTCCCTGATAACCAGCAAAGAATGTTTCTTTCTGTGTGTAAATCTTTTCTTGACTTTTTACAATGTTGTTGTTGTTGTTATGCACCATCAAGTCAGACCTGACTCATAGCAACCCCTCCTTGGGTTTCTGAGGCAGTATCACTATGGAAGTTTGCCCAAACTTCCTTCCGAGGAGTGGCTGGTGGGTTTGAACCCCCAGACTTCTGGTTAGCAGTCAAGTGCCTTAGGCACTACTCTACCAGAGCTCCTACTTTTTACAAAAAAAAAAAGTGGTCTCATATAACATTTGTCCTTTCAAAATTGATTTATTTCACTGAGCATAA